ATGGAAAGCACCCAAAATTAACACCACACTTGTTACTCTGCTGGTACAGAGTTGTACAGGGGTATATTGACATGGCCTAATAAGGTACTTTCCAATCCCTTCCTCCAGTTTGTATTCTCTTGGAAACACACACCGCAAAAGTTCCAAAACTTATTTTACAGAAGCAAAGGCAATTTGTGAGACTACAAACCAAGGCTGCTGCAAAAATTTACATCATCAAAAGAAACAAATTTCCACCCCATAGTACATACATTGTACTATTTACCCCAAAATAAAGTCTAGGGAACTAAATGAAAGAGCATATTTTAAAAATCTAGTGATACATGCCAAGTGATGGCCAAATCCATTGATCTGCCACTATTTTCACTCAAATCCAGATCTGCACCACTTAATGCCTTCTGATTTCCCTCTTAATATGCTGATTTTTATTTATTGTGGGGCTTTCTTAAGACATGAACATGTTTGGAAAAATGTTGAAATTATTCAGGGGCAAGTATAAATGTACATGTGAATACTGTATCCAATTACATTTGAATCAACGCCTAGCAGTGAAGCTATTCAGACTCAGAGACCACTAACCTCCAAATGAATAGTTAAAACTGCCATCAGTAGGAGGGGGTGCAGAGGGTGGAGCCTGTCCTGGGTATGGTGGGGGATTTTCCTGAAGAAAAGTCAATTAGTGATTAACTTCAAGCTTAAATAACAAGTTTGAATGATAGCAACTTTTGGGAAGGAGATAGGCTTGCTAGGTCTTGTTAAGATTACATCTAGGAGTGCTAGAAAATTCCAAATTCAGTCTTCAAGGGTTTATTGTGTCCAAGTCTCACTGCATTGCAATGATTCAGTAATCTCATAAAGCTGTTAAAGATATAGCTAAATAATAAAAGTAGCTGTCATTATTCTTGAATTAAAATCTGATTAAAGCCTCACAGAAACAGAAACTTACATGAGGCTGGTATGGTGGTGGCTGACTCATTACACCACCTAAAATAAAAGTAAGTCAGAATTAGAATGTGGCTTGTCACATTTCTGTATGATAGGTGGCTGAACCAAATTCTTGAAACATGTCCGTAACAATGTTTTGGCAATCAGGTGTTTGGGTTGATATGGTTCTCTCTCACAAAAAATACAGCTGTTATAAACCACTTTAACACCTTTGCAGGTGTCCTTCGGGAGAAAATTTGTATATGCGTTAGTTTCAATAAAATCCTCACACACAATATATCTGAAGAAAGGCTAATAACTGCAGTTTACAATATATATATATTTTAAGCAAGTTTTCCTTTAAGGAAGTGTCACGAGCCAGTAAAGTGTGAAATGACCATGGGTTCTTTTATTGAATTTATTGGGTGTTAGGTATCAATCAACAGAAGGGTGTCTAGCTTTTTCAATAGTCTGATTGGTTGTTTAGATATTGGTATCTTAAGTAGGTGTAGCTAAAAATATGCCAGGCATTTTGCATAAATGGATGCCACAGGAAAAATATTTCAAATATCAATATTTCCCAACACCCTTTAATTTGTCATTGTTCCTGGAATGTTCTGGCAAAATATGACCAAAATTGGTCAAATCTAAATACCGAATAAACTCACTCAAAGCAGATGTATTGGTCCCAAAATCAAATACAAGATTTTAGCTCAAAAAGGCTTGCGAACAACTCATGCCAACCCAGGAGATTATCTTGCCCCCCTGAAACTGCAAACCAATGGGATAACGGGACCTTCTGACACCACTGATGATGGATCAAGATTTCCTGGGAGAAGTAAACCATTGCAGACAGGTCTTTTTTATCTTAATTGTTCAGTGGAGCATTGAGGAGGACAATACAAAAGGGGGTAAAGTTGCCAAAGACAAAGGAAAAACCTACGGCAAAAATGGAAAACCAGAAATGCACTGAGAAGCAAGACAACGAATCAACACGCAGCTTTCAAAATTACAATTCAGGGCGATTGTAAATGCTTTGTATCACAGTGAGTACTTGCATAAATAAAAAGAAACCTAGTTTCTTACATTATGTTTGACAAATTAAGGTTTGACAGGGACTTCTTTGTTCAAATCTGGACACCAGCATGGAGTTCTGCCAGTACCAGTCACTTTCACGACGGATTTTTCTTTTTGTTACAGAATGGTACTCTTTCTCTCTTCTTTGGGCCTATTTTTTCTTTTTTTTTTTTTTTTTTTTTTTTTTTTTTTTTTTAACTGGACTTTCTTTCACTTTTAACTTTTTCATGAGCAAAAATTTTTCAGGTACAAGATTATGACACCTTCCTGATTCATTAACTTTTATTTGAAAATACATTTTTCTAAATAACTCTGGTGCTTTTAAAGATTTCAGAATTTTTTAATGGGAATGTTAGGTTAAATTTTTGAATTCTGTTGAATGAAATAAAAGAAAAAACTATTTTCTTGGCCTCCGAAGGTAGGGAGTAACCTTAAACCAAGAAATCTTGGAATTTGCTGTCACAGAAAGATTTTCACAAAGGGAGAACACATCTGTAGCACACAAACAATTTTTGTCTAATAAAATCAGTTTTTTGCATCACACATGCCACACTTGAAAAAACGGTTCAAATTTTGTCCCATTTGAGTCATGGCCCTGAAAGATGCTAAAATTACACTCCAACTAAATATTTGAATTGACACTGAAAGCCCAACAGTTAGAAAATTCCACAACTTTTTATGATCTTTTTCAGGACTTATTTTTTATGTTAATCACTCAATCATTTTTTTGGCAATGTAGTTTTCAGGAGATTTATCGCAGTAATTTCCATAAATTTTCATTACCCACATTCAAACCAAATTCAAAGACTTACTGGCTTGGAAAAATGATAGGGAAGAATTTCTTCTCAATCCCTGTACAGCCCTGTTGGAATATCTAATTACATGTAGACTGAGTTTCTTATTTTTAAAAGGTAGCCATGTCATTCAATTCTAAGCACCAAAACTAAAAAATAGTTATGGTTTAAATTTCCATATAGGACAAACAGTAACAAGACTGTACCTGGAGGTGGATAGACAGCATATCCTGCAGGTTGCGGAGTTGGGTAGAATGCCTGCCCAGGGGCTCCATAATAGCCAGATTGAGCTGGGTACATATTGTTGTAGATGTTGCCTCCATTCATCATCACTGGCTGCCCAGGTGCCTGTGGTGGAGGGTGTGACCCAGGCCTACGGACTACAGAAACATTTACTTGTAGTTCAGTAAAATAAACATGCATTTTCATAAAAATTTTACACCCATAAAATATATATACTCTGCCTCGGTAAAGAAATTTTTCTAAAATTTTTATCAAGCAAGTTTTATCAAACTCATTGTTTGAGTGGTAGTTGACCACCAGTGAACAGGTTCTATTGAAACCCTGTGTAATTAATTAACTCACCACTAGCAACAGCAGCTCTGAAGTGTTCAGCAAATTCTATAGCTCCACCACTATTGAAGGTTACTTTGAAAGTTCCTCTACCATGCCAACCACCTGAAAAGAAATAAGAAAAATTTCAGGACAAAATTGAGGTAGAACTTCAAGTATCTTCCATACTTTGAAGCTGGTAACTCAATTATCCACCAAAAAGAGCTTGTTTTACCCCAACACTTCCCTAAGTTTGACTGTTTAGCTGTTTTTTAGTATGATTTAGAACAGGTTACTCTTTACTTACCATCTGCCTCAGAAATTACATCCCCCTTCACAAAATTTGCACCAAACATGGGTTGCTTGACCTTAAAAGTATTTAACAGAGCATTAGTTGTTTGAGAGCTTCATTAAGCCTTCTGTAAAAATACATTTTTTATGTTTCCAGATAAGCACATACTGAAATGAGTAAATCTCACAAAAGACAAAGAAGATTGAGCTAAAAAACTCAATGAGTACCTCTGTGTTGTCATGGAGATTGATGCTATCTAAAATATTTTAAAATTACCATGTTATGACTTTTTCATCATAAAATAACAAGAATAGTATCCAGAAAAGCTAACCTCCACATTTCGAATACTATGGAAATTCATTGAAAATGAACCATAATTGCATCCAGTTGTAGGGGCAAATATGATCTGAAAGATGATAACACTATGTAAATACAAACAGCAAAGGAAAGAGTTGATTTAAAAAGTACCAAAACCCAAGAACAAAAACACCTCATCACCCCATGAGTGTAAAGTGTATTTCTTTCAATAAACTGAAAATGGTCAGAATTGAACTCTTGAACAGAGACTTTTTCTCATTAGCTGCGTGGAGGTAAATAGTTCCGAACTGGCCAATCAGCATACGCTAAAAGAACTATTCACATGTGTGATATATATTAACATCTAGTATTGATCGATATCGATTGAGATTGATTATCAATAACATCGACTGAATACCTTAATAACTTAGTGCAACGAGGTTTGCTAATTTTCAGGCTCTATTTAAACAAATAACAAATAATGAGTTCAACCAGTATGTAGATTATACTTAAGCCAGCAAGCTTACGACTACCCGCTTGCAATCACCATTGCGAAACTTGACAGTACGTACATGTTTCAAACAGTTGCATTAATCAAAATCGGTTGCAACGTAAGTCCCCTATGATGGATAGCTGTGTATGTAAAATAAATCAAATATATGATCTTTTAGAACTTACTTTCTGAATGGTAATGAAGATATTTCCTTTCTTTGAGCCTTTCAAATAACCAGGGATTTCACCGCCTTCCAGAGCAAACTCGACGCCATCTTGATGGTATATCACACTGATAAAAGACAACGTATATTGTCCAAAATCCATCTCTACAACAGACTAGCGCCCAAGTTTAAATGTGATTAAGTTTACTTACTAGTCTCCATGAAGAGTAAGCCGCCCATTTGAGCAAACAACTTTGTTCATAGACATACTTCTCGCTATCGCTTTAAGAATTCGTCACAATTTTCGCCTTTGCTATATTTTAAATGACGTCATTTTAGAGCTTGGTAGCCAAGTTTAAGCGTTAGTGCTGACCAAAAACATTGTCGGCTCTAAGTTCGTAACTCGGCTATTCACCATTACGCAACCTCCGAAACAAATTCTTTGAATGAATGTTTAATTGCAGACATATTTTATAAGCAAAAATGACCTTGTTTTCCAAAACTGTAAGCTTCAATGATATGGTTCCTATTTTACCGGCATTGGATCTACCTGTTACACTCAAAATGTTATTCTCCCACAAGAACTTTGTGCACGCTCTTGCCGGCGCAGTGGTGAGTACATCATACACATGGCTAACTTGTGACAGCATATGTGTTTTCGTCCGCACTGAATGTAGACACACTTTTTTTGATTGTATGATAGGGCCCATTCGGTTTAAAAATGCTTGAATATTCTAAGGATGCGAAGAATGATGCGAATCACAGGTTATTTCGGTTACTTCCCAGATCAGGTGATGTCTGAGGACAAATATCCGCGTATATTTTCGCATGCAATAAAGGAAATTTTAATGTCGACCCTTTCATAGTTTTTTATAACCTTTAAGACGTGAACCATCGAGCAAGAATCCATCAACATTGTGCTACAGAGGTTCTCAAAAGGCAATTGGCAGCTTCAACCCCCCCTTAAGTAACCTACTGGGGAGGGGGGGGGTGGTGGTGGCTGGAATTTGAACAACCCAATCTTCAAAGTCTGGGGAGGGGGATTTTGAGGCTTTGAATTGATTGATATGTTACTTCATAGTGGTGACAATTCTACAGATTTGCACTTGTATAGTGGGGAAATTTTGTCCATATCCCCTTTCCCCAGCTTAGTGATCAGCTGGAAATGTCCTAGCTATGGTGAAACTACCATACCTGAGTGGAAAGGTAGAACAGATTCTCTGAAAGCAAAAATCTCCTATTAATTACTTTTTGGTAACAAACGGCATAACGACTGATTGCTCTGACTATTCCTTAAAAGAAACCTAACACTACATACAAGGAGTGAAAAAAGCTACTTAGACAACCAACCTGTTGCAAGTGATCTTTCTCCAGGGACTAGTATTCTTTTTTACTCTAGCAGACATATGTGAATGTGGTAAAAAAAAATTATTCAGGGTTAATGGTACAAAGCCTAACCTACCACTATGCAATGATGAACTGAATAGTATTTTATTTAAACAGGGAAGTGTGACAGCTATGACAGTGTTCTTTCCATTAGATACTGCAAGAACCAGACTTCAAGGTTGGTTATTCTTTTGTGGCTCTGGAATTAGGGGTGGGTTACTCAAATATAAAGGGAGGGAAAATAGTATGTTATAAAAACTCTTAGAGGATATAAGGTTGATACAATTTCAGCTCTTACATAAGTGGGTGTAACTGTTTACTTAAAACTGAAACTTGCTGAAATACCTTGAACCTTTAATAAGTGCTGCAGACATAAACTTAAATTCAATGAAAAGTGGGTGGAAAGGTGTGTATACATGGTAGTAGTTTAGAGCAGGGAAGGTACTTGATATTTCACAAACTGTTCAGATATGATTGTTTTGCAGCAATTTGATGATGTAGGTTTGAAAACAAAAAACCAAAAAAACTGAGTATGAATAAACAAAGTTGATCTCTAGGTTTCATTTTTATCACAGATAGTAATCTTTTTGCTCACTCAACATGCCATAATATGGAAAAGGCATGTTTTGAATGTGTAAATCTAATACTTCAATACTATAATTACACACTGCTGTGGCAAATGTGACCACCTGTCAACAGAGGGAGAGGGAAGGAAGAACTTACAACTTAAAGGGAGTGGACACTTTCAAAACTTGTTGGCAGATAGAGAGGGGGCACTTATTTGAGGAATGTTTGTGCTTATTTTTGCAGCCATTTTTTTTCTTTGGGGATGGGGGAGAGGGTTGATCTAAGCTTTGTCTTTGAAATTTTTGCCTGTCATGGCTGTGTATCAAGTTTTCATTGTCACACAACAATATTTTTGTAGTTGATGATAAAAGAAAAGCTAAAAACACAGGACATATTTTGATGGACATAATTCAAGAGGAAGGAGTGTATGTATGATATTATTCAATTTATGGTCTTTTGTCAATAATATTTTCAGTAGAAACCAAAATCTGTAGACTATCACTGTAATTATGGTGATTACAATTACAGCCACTTACATCTAATGACTACAAAGAGTGTGAAAGTCTATTTGTAGACTCTGCTCTCTAGTATGTCAATTATATCTTGCTTGCAAAGTTATTTCCTGAAAGGTTTTGGTAGTGACATGGTAAGACACTTGCAGGCTCTTCCTTTGCATAGAGTATTATCAGCATATGAATGCACATTCATTGCCTGAACAATCTAAATTAAACTTACAGATATGTGATATGTGGTTTACACTGGCAATCATTTAATTTTTAATGAATATGGAATTTCAGTTTTTAATTATCAATGAAAATCACATTTTAAAGAATATGGCAAAGATACTGAATGTTAAAAGCTAAGTTTTCCATTTGTTTCACAATGTAGTCACATGTGATGTAGATCGTGACATTTCGAGTGCATACTGCTAGTCTTCTTCAGGTGATGAGGTTGACTGGTCATGCATGATCTTATAAAGCATGATGCTCTGCTGTGATTAGTTGTTTTTCAACAGCTCTGATTGATGCATTTGGATCCTTGTTGTTTCACTCAGTGATTTTCTCCCTTGGTGGTCCGTTGCCACACAGCTCTCCTGTTGTTGTGTTTTTTTATCATGGGCATCCACGCTTCTGGAATTTCTATTTCACTCTCCCTGTTGATGTTGTGAGGGTGAAGTCTTATATGAATTGCCTCTTTGACCCTGCACGTCTAGTGATAAGGGTCATGATCAATAAACTTTACTTTGTTCCAGAGTGGCTTGTGTCTGATATTGTGGGCATGCTCTGAAACAGTGGAGGTCTTGGTATGGGCAAGTCAGATGTCTCGATTTTGCTCTCTTTAATTCTGTCTTGCGTGGGTCTTCCAGACTCTCCGATGAACACCTCGCCGCATTCACAGGGAATCCTGTAAACTACGCCATCTTGTTTGAGATCTTAGCGTAGTCTCCAAATTGAAAACAGCATGTACACCTTGTTGTTGTGACCTCATTGCCTTAAGAAGACTAGCAGTATGCAGTTGAAACGTCGCGATCAACAGCACATGTGACTACATCGTAAGACAAATGGGAAACTTAGCTTTTATTGTTATTCACCATGATGAATAACCACAGCCTTTTTTAAGAAAATACTAAACGTTGTTTGTCTGGATGTGTTACAGGTACTCTTTGTACCGTGGTCTCCTTCCAGTCCTGTCAAGCCTTTATTGCTCCAATTTTCTCTATTTTTATACCTTCAACGGTCTTAAGGCAGTATTTGTAGGGAGAGGAGAAGTTTCTACATCACTGCAAGATCTGTTATTTGGATATTTAGCAGGTAATGCCATTTCAGCGTTCTTTTTTCCATTGAAAGGTGTATTCAGAGTACTACCATGGTTGGCACAGGTCACAGCAGAAAAATCTTTCATAGTCAGAAAAAAGTCAGAGAGTTAATTTGTTTTTAGTCCAGGAGAATTGAGAAGAGAATTGAGAAGTGAATTGAGGCTTTTCTTAAAGATTGAGTTTGATTAAAGTTCTTCTGAGTTACAGAATGCCATGGGGATCACATCCAGATCACATGAGATCAGTATTCAACCACTTGATGCGCCAAATAGTATTCAAAAATGTATATGCATAGCTTCATCGCTAATGTGCAGAAGGGTAGGTGGGTCAGACATGTGTTCCATGGTATTCTGTAACTTGGTAGAAGTTCAATGTAGTGGTAGGTCTTGAATCATTTCTTAATTCTGACTCATTACAACAGGAGGGAATTCCAGGAGATCTCAAAGAGAGACATGCTGTGTTTCAATAAAAGCTTGACTAGGAGCATTCCTTTCTTTCAGCAAACTCTGTTGTGTGAGAAAAAAAAGTGCAGAAAAAAATTGATGAAAATGCACCATGCAGAACTCTGGCAGTGAGGTGCACAAAAAGTAGTTTAGCGCAACCCACAAACATTCTTTTCACTTTTGTTCATTTTACTTTCAAGATGGACTGTGGAAAAAAGGAGGGACTGCTTGTAGATAACAGCCAACTGAAAACTATGTTAACTCAACCACGATCTATTTGTCTTAATTAGCTTACAATTAGCCCCCCCCCTTTTTTTATCATAAACTGTGTGAAGTGCACTATGAGTCACAAGATCCTTTTGAAGGTCAGGGTTTTTGGTAAACTTGGAATGAACTGATTCCAAACACCAGTCAGTTGTACCCCACACCCCACCTTGATTTTAAGTCTCATCCTGCATGCCACCAAATGTAACAATCTTATGAATAAAACTTAGATGTGGATTGTTTCAACTGACAAAGTTGACACACTTTTTTACGTAAACTGAACTAAGTTTGATCTGGATAATTTTTTTAGCATAATCATGATCTGGCTTTTGATGTGCAGTCTTCCTCTAGATGTGTCCTTTATTTGCTCTATGGCTCAGTCAGTCTTTGGTAATTTACACAACACATTTCTTTAAGGTTTTTTTTTTGCAGAGTTTCACTGCCTCTCTTGTTATTTGGTGATAAATGTGAACTAAAGCATATTCTTGATGTACAGGCTGCTACCATATTAATATTTACTGCTTCCTTTTTCAGGAATTGTAAATGTTCTTATGACAACGCCCCTATGGGTTGTAAATACCCGCTTAAAATTACAAGGAGCAAAATTTAGGACTCAGGAAATTGAATGTTCAAAAACAGCAAAATACAAAGGAATTATTGGTAAGTACATTGTTCATAGTCTATGCAAAGTAGTTTACCAGAGGTGACTGCATCCAAAAATTACCTGGGTTGAGCAAGCAAACAAATAGCAAAACTTTGCTTTGAAAGCAATAATTTTTTTTACCTCGTTTTGAGTATCATGACATTCTTTATGGGCTAAGTTAGTGAGGTTTTAAAAACATCATTGCTTGGACTGAAAAAGTTGTGTGGCTATTCTTTCAATGCGAAACCAATACAGATATGGGTACAACTTAATTTATTATAACTGCTTTGCCCAACTTGTTTAGATGTAGAGGGTAGACTTACAGTGCATTTTTAATGAACTGTTACACCTTTATTAACAATAAATTGAAAAATGTATTGAGTGAGGGTAAATGAAAATGGTAGAAAAATTCCATTGGGTTGTTCTGAGCTACATGTTCAAATGAAAACTGATTTCTATTGACTCAGAGCTATTAGCACAAGAGCTGATGGCAAACCAGTAGACTTAAAATTTGGACACAGACATTGTGGTTGAGTGTCTCGCTGATTCTTGCTGTTCTTGTTGTTAAAATGAAAATCTTTGTTTGTTTTGATCTTTGTAAGACCAAGTGCCAAAGAACTTATCTTTTAATTTCACTTCTTTAATATTGGTTTTTCATGACTTTTTTAATTAACATTTTCTGAATATGGTTCTGCGTCCTTGGTATTGCCCTGGCCTTTTACGCAAGCAACATTAATTTTGTAGCTTTACTAGTAGGACTGATATGCACATAAATGATGCTTTGATATGTTGGTTTACAGATGGATTGAAAAGGATTTGCAAAGAAGAAGGAGTGATGTCCCTTTGGAGCGGTACAGGGCCATCCCTTGTTTTAGCTGGTAATCCAGCTATTCAATTTATGGTGTATGAGGGTATAAAGAAGTTTTTGATGACTGAAGATAACAAGGTCAGTGCACATACAACATCATCTTTGCATTTTTTCAATTATGTATATCATATGTTTTTTTATTGGGGGTTATGGATAAAAGATAGAGATATAGTTTACAGTCTTGTTAGTAAGAAAGGAAACAAGTTGAGAGAACAAGGTGGAATGTTAAGTGAGAGATGGATCTTTCTAGTACTCGGCAGATAACAAAAAAATTTCCCTTCAGTCTCCATCAGCTACAGTGACATTTTATTATAATGTACACTTTCTGTCCCTTGCTGATGTGGAGCCTGAAATGCTAATTATTTTACCGACAAGAGACGACAATTGAAAAGGGAATCCATCTTTACAAGCAATTACTATATATTGTATATTTTGTTCGGTTGTTTCATTACGCAGTGACCATGTTGTTTTGAAACTGACTCTGTAATTGAGTTCGCCAGGGTTGTCAAAACGTCAGTCCTGCGAGAACGTCAGCAGAGACGTTTTTCAGACTCGGACGGCAACCAGAAGTAGAATAAGACTAATTGTAGCGCTTTAATGCCAAGGTATCTACCGTAAGGTCGTTTTTTTAGCACCTCAAACCAAATTGTGCTGAGCATAAAGTTGTAGTGAGCACTAGGAATGAGAACATTTAACTTCCAGCTGCCATCCGTGTCTTTAAAAACGATTTTGCCTGAGCAGTCCTTTTTACTGTTATCGAGACGATCAGACTACACGATCACTAAATCGTCTTCAGTTTCATTTTCTGTTATTGTACACAGTCTATTGCATCTTTGGTAAAGTATTAGGCTATCAACTATAGTCTTTTTTATTTTTGGAGGTTGAATTACTACCATGTGATATTGATCGTGTGGCTCTGCTCCTGAACAGTGTTAGGCAAGCCATTTATTACATTCACACCTTGAATCTGACGAAAATCCTATGACCTGTAAGACCATTGTAAATTAAGCGGGGTGGGTGTGACAGATTCATGTAAACACAGTGAAAATTTTAAAGCATTTTACTGAACTTCGATGGATAATGTACATGCTGAGAAAAAAATCATCAGAACCGTAATGACATAGTTGGGAAGATGCGTGAGGTGAAACAACAGATTTGTAAACAAAAATTGCTTTTTCCGCGATAAGTAAATATCACTTAAACTTTTTGTCTCTAGTTAGTACAGATCTGCTGTGCGGTTGTTCTAAGACTCATGTTTTACTTTCAGACTCTTAAAAAGAGACAATATTTTGCTGTAGGCGCAATTGCTAAAGCTGTGGCTACTATTCTTACCTATCCACTCCAAGTGGCTCAGTGCAAGCAGCGAGTAAGTGTTACAATGTATGTAGTGTGGTGTCTGTGAGCAGTTTCAAGGGGAGCTGCTCAGGTAGCCCACACACGATGAACAGAAGCAAAGCAGGGTCCATCGGCTTGCGTCGTTGTGGAAGCCGGGAGACCAGTAGCAATATTCTGTGAACTTCGTAGTGGGCCTTGCCTACCATTAAGTCTCTATGGCTGAAGGGAGAGTATCTAGGCACGGAATCCGAAGGTCTGAAGTTCGATTCCTCGTGTGGACTAAGAATTTTTTGTTTGTCCCACGCTCATGACATGACGAAAAACATCGTTCTCTATTTCTTTACTAAGCTTAAAACTTACCATCTTTCTTAATCTATATACAAAATACGACGCTATCGACATTGCTGATCCTAGCAGTATACAGGACGCGTGTCATATAAGAACTTCTTAATAAGCTTTGCCCACCATATAGAGTCTCTGTTTCTGAGAGGTCCGAGGTTCGATTCCTCATAGGAGCTCAGAATTTTTTCTTTGTCCCACGCACGTGACAAGACAGAAAACATCTTTCCCCAATATTATACGCGCTATTCCTTGAAACATTACGGGACAGGCTTAATATTTTGTGTGCCATTTTTCTTGTTGTTATGTATGCTAACTGAAGATACTTTTATTTTTAGTCTGGAATCAAGACGCCAAGTGGAAAGGCAGACATCCTGTCTCTTTTGGCGAGACTTGTGAGGTATGACACTTTGTTTTGACTTCATTTGTTCCAGTTGTGGTGGGTTTTACACAGCAGTGCTTGTTTGTGATTACAACGTTGAGTAACAACTAGTTGTGAAGTGCGACTTTGTTTGTTTTGCAGGGAACAAGGCTTTAAAGGACTTTATAAAGGACTAGAGGCTAAGTTGCTTCAAACTGTTGCAACTGCAGCTTTGATGTTTGTTGCTTATGAAAAAATAGCTGCGTTTATTTTTAGTTTACTTCGGAGGACCTCAAGATGAACAATGAGAACATGAATTTGAAACAATGGTCACTGGCTCCATAGTGAGTTGAGTGAGGCCTTCTCCACACGATACTTTTTAAAATCGGTTCCTTTTTTCTCGTTTGGAGTCTTCCGTTCACATTCACATGGCGTTTTCGGGCATCTTAAACGAAGGATTTTAAATCCGGTTCCCGAAGAGGAACTTTTTGGACGAACAAAAGCGGAGGATTTCGGATAAGATGGTGTCATCATTGATCTAGTCTACTTTAACCTGGTTCACGTTTCCTAAGTGAAAATCAATATGGCGGGTAGTGAACGTATGTCATTATTATTATAGCTAAATTCAAGTTCAGTAGCTTGATCTCCAATTCGTCATCTGTCCAAATGTTTTGTTTTGAAAACGGAGGAAAAATTCCGTTTTCCAATATATCCAGATACGTCTTTAAGGGGCCTGAATGTCGTCAAGCTGAGACTGATCTGCGCCAAATATTATCCACAGACTGTACGGTGGCTATGGGCAGGGTACTGATGTTTTCATCCGGCTTATAAAGTTTGCCTCAAAGAGAGGGCTTACACTTAATAAGATTCTTTTGCCAACATCGTTTTTCATTTTTTTCAAGCTGGGATTCAGTTTTTTAGCCCGGCTTGGTTTAAGTCCTTGTCTGTAGATTAAACGTCGTAAATTCCTAGTTCTGGGATCTTTTATTAAGTCTTTTTCAAAGGGGCTGGCTGGGTGTAAACAACATGGAGCCCAAATCGAAGGGGAAGCATTTTCTTTTTAACGGTATTGCTGAAAACACTCGAGTGAAGGATAATAATATTAAAGCCACTTCCGGGGCAATGGAAAGTGCTTGAAGCGATTGGTTCGATCGCGAAATGCTCAACTCTGCACGTCTCTTGAGGGAAATGAACAAGAGCGATTGCTCATACAAAAATATTTTTTTCTAAAAGATTATGTCGAAAATCAACGTTATTAGCTAGCTAGAGTGTGGATATTTGTGAAGTGCATCGTGCTCAGTGTGAATGTACTGGAAGGAAAAATTAATGCAGAGAATCTGGTGTTGTAAAACGTGACCATAAGAGTCGATTCGACTGCGGGAAAGTTGTTCGTGGCAAGTTTGGGTTTGAGATGTACTTGCCTAAAGGAGAGGAAAACATTTGGAGCACAATGTGCGTGAAGGCTTTTGTGGGAAGCGTGTAGAATACATTTAGAACCCAGCGTGTTATGTTTTACTATGTTTTTTTGTGAAAGCTTGTGAAAGGGAGTGGCTTCCGAGTGTTTTCATTGTCGAGAATCATTTAACCCTTTAACTCCCGGTTCAAATTTGTCATTCTCCTTACTGTCAACTATACAATTCTAATAATGTTAGTTCAGAGAATTTTGTATTGGGTCAATTTATTATCCCCAAATTGATATTTTTCTTTATTCTCATCACTCATCTGGTTGATATTGTATCGATATCGTAAGGAGAAAATTCTCTCTTGGTCACTCATGGGAGTTAAAGGGTTAAATATTTTTGGAGTTGATGGGGATGACAATTCAAAAGAGATCAAGGCTAAAATGAAGTGCCAACTATTGCAATTCTTATTCTAAATATTCCTTTTAATAAATGACTTTTTGGTTGTGTATGGCACAACATGATGTTTACCACTATCCCGTTGTCAGAGGAAAATCTAATGGTACCCGAACATGACCGTTACAAAAGCTTGAATGGCGTATGAGTTCCCAAAAGGATGATGAAGTAACGCATGTCGTGACTCCGTCCCCAACAAGAATGAACGTCACTGCGTTTCCTGAGTTAAGCTTCTTTGTCGGACATGACCTATGGAATTTGACGTTGTGTTCCCGATGTCAACTTGTTTTCCGGTGTACGTGCATGCGAACATACGTAAGCATCAACGGGGCACACTCTTTCCGATTGCACAATTTTTTTTTGTTAAAAACATGTTCCTGTTTCTTACATAAATGCAATATGGTGTCTTTTTGAAGTGAATAGCTATTTTCCATATTGGTTTAACTTGACAACTTCCGTCGGTTGCGTGGGATGTTTATAACAGAGGAAATCGATTCAATCAAGTGCAGTAAGACACTCAAGCCCTCCCTGAATGCTCGTTACTAACGGCATCGCCGTGGGATGTGAGGTTAAACATCAAATTACAAACGTACAAAGTCCAAGTGTGTTCAAATTCAATTCATGTACACCGTGAGGTATAGTTGTTAACCAGCACGTGAACAAAAGGTCAGGATTGTGTGATGAGGGACGGGGCATTCCACCGGAAACTTTGTCATCCGTGACAGATGAAAAAGTCACGTGGTCACAATCCTGTCGAGTGTTGCCATTGTTAAAGTTTGTAAACAGAGCGTAATATGCACTTTCAAATTGATTGCAACACTGGTAACATCCCGGTGTTAACATTGAAAAGTCGAATCACGGCATCACGATGAACGAGTGGATGATATCTGGATATAAGGTTCGTTTTAAATCCCACGAAGGCGATGTTTATGGTCGTTTGTACGACATACTAACTTGGCTTGTACAAGTACATTTAGATGCTTTGTGTCTGTTTGGCTCGATCTTGTTAACCCTTCAAGTTACATGGAAGAAATTTTTTTCTACTACGCAACAAGAAGTGATTAACAGAGATGAATTTCTGCCTGCTCACGACTTTGAAAATCGCTCGTTCACTGTTAGCGAGTTACAGCAATACGACGGTATCCAAGATCAGAGGATATATTTTGCGGTTAACGGCAAAGTGTTTGATGCCACATACACAAAGGACATTCAGTATTTTATGGATGGACCGTTCACTCATCTTGCTGGTCGAGATGCCAGCCGGGCTTTAGCAACCTTTTCTCTCAATGAAAAGTTAACGAACAAATCCGAAATTGACGACTTGTCAGATCTCAATCCACTTCAAATGGACAGCCTCTTTCACTGGGAAATGCAGTGTGTAGAGAGATATCCCTGTGTGGGAAGACTTGTCAGAAGTCATCAGCCACGTGCTCTTCAAAATGCTTGCATAAGGACAATACGCGGTTGTATGGGTGAACTGGGAGGTACTGCGAGAAATAAGGCAGTTGATGAACTTCCATTACCGAGACCTATCAAAAATCAAATCATATCTATGAGATAATAATTTTGGGACTGTATTACTGCCGGTGTATAAGGCAGTCTATACTCAACCGGTCAGGCTGGCCAATCAGATTTTTAAAACAAAACTTAAGCCGGCGGCAATTTTCTGGAAATTTTGCGGCGGACTTTTCGCCGTAATGAAACAGCAGAATAGTAAAATTCTTGCCTTCACGGGATGTGAACCTTTTGTATCAAAAGAAATCGAAAGGCTACAAGGTTTTTGTTTTGCTTCACCACAATCTTGCGTGGCCTATCAGGTGGAACTCTGCCATCTTGTTTTGGTAGTGAAGGGGCTGTGCCATTTGTAATCAATGTTTACACGGGATAATAGTGGCATTAATCCAAGACTGGATGAATGCAATTTGTAAAAACACAAATTACGTGTAGAAAGGTAGAGAATCGAGACTGATTCAGTTCGTTCAAATATTCGAAACAGTTAGCAGCTGCACACCAGGCTTAATAGTGTATAAAGTATTTTTAGATCTTAAATTTCAATAACAATAAAAAACAATAAAGAAAGATTAAAGAGGAACGTTGTCGTAAATTCCAGTAGAAGGGTTAAACAAAGGGCACTCAGCAGCGGAAAAAACCCTAAAAATAACACAGTACTTTTTAGCAATAAGAACCAAACTATAAATTGCTACTTTGAAGTTTTCCGATGAGACCAACATTTAATAATAAAAAGCCAAATGTTCTTATTGTTCAGTGAAAAGGCATTTCTATCCACAAAGCGTTCGACCCCTTTCTTGCGGTCAGTTGCGTAAGAAGGAAACCGCAATCCACAATGGCTAATTTCGAACTTCAAAAGCTCATATTTTGTTAAGCGACCGGAAAGAAACCCTTGAATAAACAAAGGAAGCAAAAACTTGTTGGCTAGTTCAAATCGAAGGGAAAACCTGTCGTTTAGTCCGAGTGAGTTGCTGTCGAAAACATCCCCACTAGGGATGTGGCAAATTGTGAATTTTAACCTCAATCGAACAAGATCCCCATATACACTGCCAGGATTACGATGGATCCAATGAAGCTGGCCTTTAAAACAACAGACACAAACATCGCGATGTGGTTAGTACTTTCGAAAGGAGGCAATTGTCATTTGATGTCGTAGTTGAATAACCGGAAAGAGAAAGCGGCGAACAGAACGCTAGGGTAGATGGGAAGGAAGACAGACGAATATATACTTCACAACAAAAAGTGATGAAGATAAACTCAAACTCGGTCCTCTATCCCTCTCTTAACTGAATTCAAAGCCTTGCTTCACGTGGTAGATAACTGATCGAAGGGACCACTGCCACTCACATACGTCATAATAATTCAAATGTTCTCAGACAACAAGCTTAAAGGGCTCTTAAGCCGCTGTTAGCTTTAATTATGGATATGTGGTGTGATGATGAATTCAACAGAAGACAAGGCGACACAATTTGAGGGAACTTTCAATTTAGACACAAAAGAAGTAATTATGTGTAGCAGTCACGTAAACCACTTTAAAAGACACGTCGTAGAGGGAGTATTATTCCTATTGCATTATATCTTCACATTTATTCCTTAGTTAAATTTATTAAGATCTCGGTATTTGGGTTCGACGAAGAAGAACACATGCAGTCGTATCGTTCTCGGAATCAATCCCGAAGGAGTCCACGAGGTTGTCCTGCTGGCATCTACTTCGATGCTGTTAAGTTTCAGTATGTCACTATCCTAGACTGGCTGACGTACTACAGATGGCTTCCATATCCTCTTATGCCTGTTGGACAGGACAAGGAGAGGGAACCTGGTATCGCCAGTGATTTTGATGCCCAATCTTCCCCTCCAGCGTCTCGTGAAGAAACTTGACGAAAAATCTCACTTCATTAAGAGTTAATAACAGTATACTACTAAATTTCAACAAATATTTCTCATTTGTGAGTAATTACCAACAGCTACTGTCACATTTTGTTACATTTTCTGCATAGATAGTTTCTGTCTTTCGGCTCATCTCGTGTCTGATGTAATTAACAAACGGACCGAACGTCCTTGCATGCATACTTTCGAGTCACAGGCTGACCGAGTGATAATTGAAACAGAAGGGTTGGATGGCTATTGGTTATACGCAACTATTTTATAAACCCTGAACGATGAGGAAAAAAAAATCGAATGCACCTCACGAATCTTTCATTTATGCAAGTTCCCGATGATGGTAAATAACTGTTTGATTGCCAGGCTGTAAAAACATCCCGTTGAGGTAATGTAATTTACTTTGGAAAGGTAAAATTGACATTGTACAAATTTGGCAAAAAACTACCTTTCACGGTTCTTACTTTTCGAAACGGGATGGCGCATTATTTCACTTAAAGTGTTTAGATGTCTTTAAGAGCATGTTCTGTCTCCTTTCAGCGTATTAGAAGAGTTTTATTCACCCGTAACTTGGCGATATGTTCACTTTTGATGGATCGAAGTCAGTTCCCGCAAACGGCGACCCTTTGGCATTCCAAGCTTTCTTGAGAAGATCGTGGGTTTTCTGTATAAATAAAAAGGAAAGAACTCATTGATGTATCCTCAGCTACGGCCTCAAGGTTTGTTTAAATGACCAATCATAATTACAGGGAAATGAAAGACACAGGAACCACCGTGCAGCGAATTTTGCAATTTTTTTCCCCATGACTAAAAAAAATACTATCCTGTATTGGGACGATTAATTCTAAGATTTAAAAATAATCGTAGTAAAGTAGTAATTAACTTCGTGTCATGTAGTTTTGATCTGAAATCACAGGTTTGATTTCAAATCGAACTCGCGGTGCACTCGTTCCATTTTGAAATATTGCCTACGATTTCAGACACTTCACCCAGATCAATTACCATCATAAACAACATACATACTCACACACATACACCTAACTGCGGTTAGGTAATCATAGAAAAAAAAAAAAAAAAGGAAAATTATAAGCATGTGGTACGAGGATACCGCATTAGCAGATTTATATGTATATTTGGAATCGCTGGAAATTTTTTCCAAAAATATGTGATACTCTCTAGCAGTTTGAAATAATTATTTAGTGGAAATTTTGCTCGGCTGTCGGGCATATGGCCAGAGGGTAATATATAGATTTAGCCAAGCCTAAAAGCGGAGCTCGCTTTTTTTTCCCCGCACGTCTCAAGGGCACAACGCCTTGACCCGGCCAGGACTAGACCCCGGGTCGTCCGACTCGGAGCCCAGTGCAATGACCACTGGACTACTGGACAAAGCCGTGGCGTTGGCGTGCCCGCGGTTCAGTTGACCACGTATGTTAAAAGTAGCACCTTGTACGGTCGGTCGTACGGTCGTACGGTCGTAAGTCCAAATTTTTTCAGCTTGATGGGTTACTATTAGTACTACCATTTTGTATAATTATGGGACTACGCTCTGCGAGCTCCGCCATTATTCAATGCTAATTAATTCCTAGATCGCTTTTCCCTTTTTCGTTTTTGCTTTTTCTTTTTTCTATGATAACATTATTGCAATTAGGCGTACAGACATAAAAATGAATGGACGAATATTTAATTTAGTTGAAAATTTACTAATTACCTAAAGTATATCAAATGAATGCGAGTGCAATGCAAGTGAATGTGGGTGAAAGCAAGATGAAAACCTTTCAAGGTTCGAGGGGATGAATGATACGCTAACAGCCTGCAGTGCAGCCGTGTCTTTGGCAAAGAGACGCCAACCTCTTCGCGATATAAGAGGCCACCAGCTCAGATATTCTTAACAATATATGGCTGGCGAAAGAAGGCAATTTTTATCAAGGAGCGATTGACCGGCAAAAGGAAGAGGGGGGTGGGCGTGGAGGGAAGGGGGGGGGGTAGGAAGAAAACTTAACCTGCCCTTATTGTCAGCTCTCTTTGTTCAACTTCTTTTCAATCACTTTAATCACGAATAAATTGGCGACTCGGCAAAGTATCTCTACTTCATGAAGCAAACCTAACGCTATTAAAATACATAAGATGACTGCGTAACAGGTTCAATTATTCCTTTGGTTTAGAGATTTTCGAATTATTATCATTATTTTCCCTATTTCACACCAATATAAAGTGAGCCAGATTAACACAAATTTAATTGACTTGAAATTAAAAAAATGATTCAACCAAAGGAAAATTTGAATTCATACTGTACATACCATTTCCTGACTAGTTGGTTTGCCCTGAAGTTTTTGATGATGGTCATACATAACGTGCTGAAAATCACTCTGAGTTTGTTCATCAAATTCACTTATGTCTCGTGTTGTGTCAACCTTAGTCTTGTCAATTTCGGTATCTCCTTCCAAAACAGTTGTCCAAAACCTCTCCTCTACTTTGTCCAGGCTGACAATGATCTGTTTCCCAGCCTCCAACAACCACATAGAATCTTCGCATTTTATCGGCCACTGAAGTTTTCCATCAACAAGAATAATGCTGTCTGTTGGAAATGACCAATGAATCAAGGTCATGCCGTCAGGTTATCCCGAAACTATCTCAGATTTAAAATGGGTGTACGCTTGTTCTTTGTCGATTTGAGGATATATTTGACAAATAAGACAAAAGAATCATTTTCATATAAAAAGCAGAAACTAGGAAGGATGCAACCAAATCTAGCTTTCTGCTTCTATTGATACGTATATCCACTTTATCAAAATACCATTGCACTCTTTTAAAATGATCTGAAGGAAAAAACAATTTATTTGAAATTAAAGAGCATCATTGGCCTTTTTTCAGAACAGTGTCTTATCACTGTGGAGAGCGTTTAAGGGCTTTTCCTCAAAATCTTTGGGCCTTTCACCAAGTGGCATTAAATAATTTCCCCTACAACATACATTTACCTGAATCTGGTGGGATTCCATTCTTTAACCAAACTTTCAAATGGGAGCTCTTAATTTCCACACCAACATCCCGACCTTTTGTTACTGAGCATGGCACAGGGATTTTTATTTCAATATCAGTTATAGTTTGTGACCATGCATACTTCTCAAGAACAGCTCCATTGTAACAATCAGCAGTCTTGCCAGGAACCAGACCCTTGCTCTCACTGCTTGTTACGTCTTCACTTACTTGAGTGAGGCTGAAAAAATTAAAATTAGTTTAGTCTCTGATGCGTTAGCTGATTCTCCTCATGGTTAGAGAGACAATCATACTGCAAGAATCATCACCTAGCATGCAGGTTTGCATAAAACATACAAACAAACATATGAACCAAAAAACAAACAAACAAAATACATTTCATTTTACCACAGCACTTCCAGAAGCAAAAGAGCACAGTAACAGTTTAGGGAGGGAAGACATATAAAAATACCACCCACCCGTTGCTCACGACCATATAATCACATTCCCAGACTCATGATTTCCAGCTCTGGCTTAGCTGAATTTTGCCTGAAATCTGCCTTGATGACCAGTACAGCAAACAAAACAGCACAGAAAAAAAGGTTTCTGTGTAGAATTGAGGACGAGTGTGTATGTGTACTTAAGACATGTCCTACCAAATTTTGTTCATGTAAAGCTTTACAAGGCAACAAACAATTAGCAAGAAGCAAAAAAAAAGATGAAAAACAATAAGTAAATCAAGAAACACAATAATTGATACACCTTGTTGGCTTGGAACTTGATGTTGAAGCAGCACTTAATGTCTTTTCAGTAGTACATGCAGGAAGTTGGGCGTGGCCCTTGTCACTGGTGGGTGATGTTTCTACCTCACATGAAGTGATTGCTGGAGATATATCTGTATCAGATGAGGCCATAGGAGCAGATAGACTTGTCTACAGAGATAGAAAATTAATATTCAGCTTTAACAGCTCCTCTGTTTGGATGCTCTATCCTCCTTGGAAAAAAATTGCCATTTTTCTCTCTTTAACAAAACATTGGCATCCATAGCATGCAAGAGTTTTTTTTTTTAGCTGGGTGAGTTGAGATTGGACACTTTGTGTTCCTAATGTTTTTATAACTTTTAACTTTTTTTAACGAAAATATTGCATTATTTCACTCCAAGAGAAAGAGGAAAAACATAGTTTATCTAAATTCACACTGGTATTTTGTGGTCTATTGTCTAAATACTTTGGGGCAAAAATAAAATACATTGGTACCCCGCTTGCTGTAGTCTCCTTTGCAGCCGCTGTTTGGTCTTGTCTATCCCCCATTGGAGAGAGAGCCATTGCATGATGCAACCAAATAACAGTTGCAAAAGAGACTACACTTACAGCTGTTCCTCTAAAAGAAAATCAAAATTATTGTGATGGAGCGAAGTCTAATGTGGCAAAATGGAATTTGATTGGTAGAATTTAATTCAAGCATGTAAAAAATTTGCGAATGTTCATGTGGTGCAATGATTGGGTATATTCTGATTGGACTTTGGACGTTGTTTTCATAGCACATGATGGAATGTAAGTTGTTTACATGTGCATTGTGGGAAAAGGAGTGGAAAAACACATCTCAACTTTAAAATGGTACAATAACAATAAATGTGAACCTTTTGAATCCCAATAAATCTCACCTTCACCCAATGAGGCTCTTACAGAGGCCAAAATAATAACACTTATCAAATGAGCTCAAATTTCTGGTTAATGTCATTCTTTGTGCACAGCCCTCTGATTCCATGACATCATTTACAAGAAAAAATACCCAACACTGTGATTGGTCCATGATATCCAAATGCCATGATATGATTGATGTGAGACACATACCCTAATGTGGCAATCTGATTGGTGTGATATACATATCTTAATGTGGCAATCTGATTATTTATGTAAAAAAAATAACTCAAAAAGGGTTTTAAGTTTGCAATATTGACACTCCCTCTTCCATTTCTCCTTTTATCTACTCCTGCAAATCCTCACTCAGACAGTATTTTTCAAAATAAGTGGTAATCCTTGCATCTTCTGTGCCAAAATTGATTTTTTTCTCTTAGACTTCTACAATTCCATCAAACCTTTAGCCCCAGAGAGTTACAAACATCCTAATAATATCACCCCAAATCAAACCTGAAGGTCACAAGAATAAAATACTTGTTGTAAAACAGGAAGAAATTTATCTTTCCTAAAGAAAGTAAATTGAGTGAAGGATTGTTATCACTTTGACCATGCTTTCAAGTGGTTGCCTAGCATGTGATTGATTTCTTTCTGGTTGGCTCATGTTTCACTTCTCCATAACATACAACTGAAGTTGAACACAGAGTATTTCCTTTGGTCACAGAAAACTAGCCAAAAACTTACAATAGCACTGAATTGCTTTTGACATCTTGAATCTTTTCCAAGTGATGAGAAAAATCCATCTAACTGTGGAAGCTACCAGCTTTCCCACATTGAAATAAAAATTTCCTCTGTTATTGAAAGCATGACTCTGTTTGCCTAATTGACAGAAAACTTGCAAAGAAAGATCTTAATAAGTTGAGGAGTTTGTTAGCAAACCCATCAGTATGAAATTATCAAACATTATATTCTAACACTATGACATTTTTGTTGGTTATACTTTGAGTAGAATTTGTATACCCCTGACACAAAAAACAATTTGAAAACTTGTGAACACTTTTTCCCACTTTACATGAACAGAAACCACACCTTCTGTCATCATTTATGACACTTTCTGTTGAAAGGCAAGCTATTCTGAAAATTTAATATGTACAAGATTATGGATTTGCTTTAGAAAGCTAATTTACCTGTTGATTAATTCACCAAATCAAGACTATCATGGAAAGAAATAATGTCCTAATTGGCACTTGAAGCATGTCAGTTTCTGCTCTAAAATGCAGGAAAATGCATCTCTGTCACTTGAGAATTTCAAATTTGTCAGGGGGAGCATGCCCACAGACCCCCCTAAGAGGCAAGGCCCAAAGGGCCTTGCTTTAAGTATGCCAGGTGGCAAATCCACATACCCTCCTGCTCCAAACCTAAATGAAACTCCTGCAGTCATTGATTTCTCAGTTCATGGGTTTATTACAAACAAAAATAATGACCAGCTCCCAGTTGGCTTCTTATTTTCACGGCTGCTTATGTAGTATTCATTACTACAAAGATCGTTTCTATAATAATTCCTTGATCTGCAGTTCGTAGGCTGGTAAATGATTTCCATATATTCACAGTCATTAATATGTATACTGTTGCGTTAAGATGTAAAGGATTATGGATGCTATTACTTTGGGTAAGGTATTGAGCTGTATAAACAATGACATTTTGTCAATAATTGTACCAGAAAGTTGAACACCAATTTGTATTTTAAACGCACTTAAAATTACAGCACTCAGAAGCCTCTATGAACATTTCACTCTCCCAAAAGCCTCCTTTGGACTGTGGTATATTACATTTAACAGTAGCTAGGACAACACCCTTTGTGTGACCCAGGACTGCAGGTGACAAATAAGTAGCAACTCACGTTTTCATTTGCAGCTGAAGCTCTATCAGTTGCTCTCTCTATGTCAGCACATTTTTGCTTCCCTTTTCCTGATATCTTTCCATGTGCTTGTTTTTTAGCTCCTGTTTGATTTCCAGTGACAATCTGTTGATGAGTCTTGAAGATCTGTATAAGAAACAGAAACTCTTAACTAATTCATGTTAAATAAAATCTATTATCATCACACACTACATCAGTTAACTCATGATGGCAAGGAAAAAACCTACGATTAAAGGTTAACTGATAATTTTTAAAGGAAATTGCTTATTTACTGGGCATGAAAAACATAACATTTCTTGTCAAACCAAAACCCAGAGAAATTATTCCACAAAAGTAGGAGGCAGGCATACATTTGTCCTTGGCTATACTCCTGTATCTTAAATTGTTACTTCTCTATAAAATGAATTTACATGCCACAAAATAATTTTATTAACATCTGTTTCCCATTATTCTCAAAATGGAAACAGTCAGGTTCTAAAGCTATTACACACATCATAAACAGGTTGTGAGATCTCTCCCTACCTAGTTACCTTTTTAGGTTTTTTTTTTTTTAATATCTCCTGACATTCAAGGCCTCTAAAAAGCATCTATGTCGAAGTATCTTAGAACAGTTCTGGATGAGTCACAAGCATGGAATGTGTATGTGATCAGACAACAGAGATGAAGAGCTGAAAACTTTTGTGACAGACTTTTTGGAGCTAGGTCACTGATAACCAAATCACATTGGTGAGGGAATGTGACTTGTCTGTTAAGCAATCGTTGCCTTAATTTGGGACATCATTTGCGGAACAACAAGGCATAGCAATCACCTACTTTATACATACTCATATACATACATATATTGTGAGTGTAACCCACAATAATTTTCCCAGGGTTAAAGTCTATGGATACATAAAAAGATTGGATTAAGAACCTATGACTTTCAACCTTATAAGTCGCAATGGTGTTTCAATGCCCATAGTGTTAAATTAAAACCAATTAATAAACTCCATTCCATGGGATGATTCCGTCCTCTTCAATGCATATTGCAGTTTTATAGACAGCGAATTTGTTCAGGTATTTAACAAAAGTACTCTGAAAACCCTAGAATAGACATTTCTGCCATGTAAGCTGTTTTTAGCAGATTGGAACCAAAATAAAGAAGTGAATAATCTTTGCGATTGGAACACCTATACTTTAAATAAAAACATCTTAATTTCAATCCACTTATTAGCCTCACCTGAAACTATTCTAAAGATATCAATCAAGTAATACAGATAATCCTGACATTCAATAAGTTGACTATTATTTAATGATGAAAACCACAAAAACTACACATTTTTTAAGTTACTGTTAAAATACAATCATGAAGTAAAGAAGAAAGGGAGAAGGGACTTTGCAACCACGGTACATGATCTTTTCTGTACATGTAAGTCATTTGAAAGGAGTAAAGACCACTTTGAATCTTTTTGAGGCATCAAATAGAAAATTAGCTTATATCCACCAGATAGTGTGATCTACAAGTATATCTAATTCTAAAAAACAACAACAAAAACAACAACAGCAATCTACATTAAGTACATGGAAGGACCCTGTATAGACTTCCCTTTTTCATTCTGGCTATATTACCTAAATCCCAATATCAGCACTATTTAGTATACAACTCCTCACTCATTCGTCAATAAACCTGACAACATTCAAATTAACACTTTTTGATGACTTCCAACAAATCCAACTATCGCTTGTCATTGATTACTGAAATACTTAACTTAATCTATCCTTTAACATGATTGGTTCTCACCATCCTGATTTGAGCACTACTTTGATAGTGTCATGCTGACAGTGTCAGTGTCATACTTGAAACTGGACAGTGCACATCAAGTGCACATGCTGTTGTTGCACATTTCAATGAGTTAACTAATGATATTCAAGAAAACGTAGAATGATGGCAACTTTGCTTCTCAGGCCTTCCTCTCATCCAATTCTGTCTGTAATTGTACTGATCATTTAAAGTATCACTTGTATGATTACAGCCGGAATTCGACTTCATTCGGTCGTATTACTATTATTTATTCAACTAAATTTATCCATTTAATATCAGATGTGATAGCAGGCAATTTCAAAACCTGTCAAGAGGTAAAAACTAACACCGATCAAGTACAAAATGATTTCGAACGCAATTCAATCTAGTTTGAATGTATTTTCACCTCAATTCCATTTTCACCCAAAACATATTCACGCAGGCTTCCTACACAATATCACTTGCTTATGCAGGATGTACCTTGTATTAACTTTCAGAAATCGCGAAAAAATGTCATATATTAACATATTTTGCGCATACATGGAAGTTCATTATTCTTTAAAATCTTCGTTCTATGGAATATTTGCTGAAGATTCAACCATGTAGCGGTTAGATGAAACGTCCATACCTTTAGAACCATCTTTTCCGCTACACCTGGAGCGAATCCCACTTTGTCATCTCTATTGTGCATCACTAGAAAGAAGTCAGTCCTGCGCGCTAAAAAGCTGAAGATTGCATCTAAAAACGGTTCCACTTGTTCACAGTGCTGGAGGATTCCCATCAAAAGATCGTCAAACTTAGTAAAATCCATATTTTAACCTCACTTTCTCCCTTTGTCTGCTCGTAGTAGTATCTTCATTCCCAGTGCTCTGTCAAGCAATTAAGATGAACGAGGTTGGGAAACTGGAACGAAAACGTGAACCCAATTGCGCGAGGACGTCATAGTCGTAAACAGTTGGCTCTTCCTACACAGGGGAGTTCACAGAACTACCGGTAAGTGCACAGGCGGCCCAAGCTCCAGCTGTGAGATGATCATTTTGCACAATAACAGTCAAGGCGGAATTATAAGAGTTTGTATGAGAATATTTACGACCGCTCTAAGGAATAAAACAATACGTCAAATTCTCAATAAAAATACCTCACCTTACTTCCACACCGTATCACTTGTTATCTGACCGCTTTCTTTGATGAAAAGAACCCATTTTAGCGAGTTGTCCTTTTCGAGGTTTTCAATGTTCATAAGAAAAGCCCTTCTGTTATGTACGTTGGTTAGTGCAGAAAATAATATTTCTTTTTATTTCTTCTTACGAGATGGGAAGATTGGAAGAGTATGATTATGTGTCTTCACTTTTGATGTTAAGTTAAATAATATAATAATTGTCACAAGGTCTGCAATATTGAGACAAAACGTAAGCTTTCGAACGTGTCTCACAGTCTTCATCAGTAAAGTGAGCCTGCGTTGTGCAAGTGGACTTCCAAAACAAAGCACCTTCCACTTGCAAATATTATACATAAGGGAATTTCTGAAACTAAAAACATTGAAGTACGTAAAACTGGAAAACGTAGTATTCGGAAGTAAAAGATTCTATCCTAAACATCTGAGGAGCTTCCTTCCCTCCCACGCAGGGAGCGGCGAAAGCACAAAAGAAGTGTAGGGAGAAACACTCGACTTCGTCTCGAGTTTCTCCCCACTTTTTGGGCGCCCCAGCCGCTTCCTAAGCACTTTACAACGGAACAGAGCACAGTCAAGGCTTCTCTATTTGTTTTATAATAGAGAATCCGCTAAATTCCCCAGGTATTACTTTCAATTTTCAAAACAAACTTTAATTCCGAAGCAAACAACACCGTCGTCAGCATGCTCTATTAATTAAATATTCAGAGAAATGCGCGCGCCGTGATTGGTCAGCACGTACTTCACACGAGTGCACTGTTGAGATATAATGCACGCAGCCTACGTCATCGGTACGAGCGCGCGCAATTCACGATACATTTTAAAGAGAAATAAAAAACTTGTTCCTCGAGCATTGTTGAGTTCTATAAGCCCTCGGGAATTTTTAAGAACACTCGAGAAGTGCGAGTGATTCTCCGCACTTCTCGAGTGTTCTTAAAAATTTCCGCGTACTTATATCACACAACAATGCACTCGACACGTTTTTTTATGTCTTTAGTACTCTCCTCAAAGTTTTCTCTTTGAGAATTTTCGTCGCTGCTCACGTTATGATAACGTAAATTACGGCGCCTGGAGTGTTTATAAACCTTTGTTGGGTTCTTCAGTTGCTATTTGCCGACTCACCTGTTTCGAAATTTAACATTCAATTAAAGAAAAACAACCACAGAAAAGTCCCGCAAAAGGTCGGACAAAGTACAATTTGGCAGATGGCGTGACAGCTTCAGCTCAGCTCTATGCTCTGTACTCTCATAGAGTACGCTCTTTCAACCAATGACAGCGCACGTTATATCCGAACTTTATTATAAACTATCATAGAGTGCGCTCTTTAAACCAATGACAGCTCGCGTTATATCCTAACTTTATAATAATTTTATCGAGTTGCTTTTTTTTATCTTCTAAGAAAATAATCCTTCATTTTATATATCGAGATCGTTTAACGTGGCCTCTGAGACATGGGCACGTAAAAGCAACCAGACGAGAATATTAGAAAATATGTATTTATGTTATTTACCGGCTAAGGGTCGGTCTGTGTGGTGAAAAACTGTGACCAAGGTATTGAAACTGCTGCCCAAAGCCGTAGGCCTCGGGCAGCATCTTCAAAACCTCCGTCACAGTTTTTCACCATGCGGACCGACCCTTAGCCGGTAAATAACATTTTTTTTTAACTTAACGAAATTATTTCCGAAAGAGCCCGAATGACCTAGGACTGTAGGTGGTAATTACGGCAAGATCTTCCTCAGAATGAACAATTTTTGAGCGAGTAAATGGTAGTTAAAATAGAGGTGATGCAAATTAAAGAGAGATGCTTCACCGAAACAGTTTCATTTGCGTAATGATAAAGGTGATTTAGGACCTGTTTACATGGAGGCGGGGGACCCCAATAAAAAGGCTTCTAAACAAACTTTGAAACATTATTTTTACAAGTATCTGTCACAATCTGGCACCTGTCAATTAGAGAGCGCGTAAGAAAAAAAAGCGCATGTACACTTTTGAAAAACAACGAAACTAGTTTGGCAAGGAATGCCATGAAAATGTTTTCTTCAAGAACAGTCAATGATCTAACGGAAAGAATTATTCACTCTCATCAACCATTAATTCCAGTACGAAGATTTACCTCTGTTTATTAAGTAAACGGCGAGGAAAGTAATCGTAAGTAAATTAAAATTTCTCATATTGAAATTGCGAGAGTTTGCTCGTTTGTTTGCTGCAATGGCGTGTGTAAATCTGGTCTTTCCTCCAAAAAAACTAAATTCGAATGATACACTCTTACGAGACACAAGGGGATTTAGTGCGGCTTTCTTCCATTGAATTCTTTCAGTTTCTGTTGTGCAATTTACGGTACAAATGTCCAAATTGAAGGGAATTAGGGCCTGTTTACATGGAGGTGGGGGACCCCAGGTAGATGAGGTAACCCGCCTGTTCATATAATTTCTTATTTTATTTTGATCACGTTTATATGATAGGTGGGGTGACCCGCCTAGGCGGGTTGCCCGGTCTGCCAGGTAGGGTAACCCCATCAGCCGGGGTGACAATTTGCCATATATACGTCTCAAGGTGGGGTAACCCGCCTGGCCGGGGCCACGTTCATGGCAAAAAGCTCAAAAGCGAAACATGTGTGTTTTAAAACTTTGTACTTTCTTAACCGCAACGGACATACAAGGAGTGTAAAATATTCACATTTCGGAATATTTAGCGTTGTAAATCGACCATATTTCGTTTTTCAAACTATTCCGTATAACATATTAAGTAAACGGTTCCTCGCGTAGCCTGACACCGCGTAACACAACGGGTGACGCTTTCATGAATAAATTCATGTGTCCGAGAATTAATCTTTCGTCTTTCTCGAGATGTGAGCTTGGGACGCCTCTGCTCAAACTCCTTAATTGCGAGCGCAACAACAACCTCAAGAAACCCCACCCCAGCGCCCTGAAGTTGTAAGATTGCATGTAAACGCGTTTTATTTTTCGACCACGACTAGGCAGGTTACCTCACCTACCAGGGGTCCCCCACCTCCATGTAAACAGGCCCTTAGAAAGACCATGACTCACCGAGAGCGTATATTTGTCGTATAACTGAAATTAAAACTTCGCTCGCTCTTTCACTAAGAAACAAATTGTTTGAGAAAATTCAGATATTAAATGAATGAAAGTTTCATCGATTAGTTCAACCAAATACCTTACGTTTTAACTTTCTAGGTACTTTTTGTGAACGATTAAAATTAACTGCAGACGGTTTTCAGGCCGCTTGTCAACCAACGTAATGCACTATCGCTTATACAAATTCATTCTGAAACCAATATTTTTCTGTCAACCAAAGTGATTCGAGAGAGAGAAAAGAGAGGATCAATAATTTACTTATCGGCTTGAGGTAGTGACTAACGTCTTTGCTTTAAACTACTGCCCAGCCGGAAAAACGAGCACAAAGCACAAATTTAAGGAGGACGAATCTATGCAGTTTCATTCTTTACTTATCTCAGAATCATATTTCTTGGTACCAGCGAGAGCTTATAAGTATTTACCGCCTTTTACTGGATGCTGAAAATCAGTCCTCCTCCTTGTGACTAGAGTTGAGGCATATTCCGTCAAAAGGCTGCCCCGGTATTCCGAGAACTAAGGCACAATTTGAGTTATCGATTAACTTAAGTCTTATGCGTCAGATGTAGAGGCGTTTCCGTTATTTTCAGCTTTTTCCCACTCCTGAAGCCTTTCGCGGTACTTGGCAAACAAAGCTCGTATATCACTCATCATTTCAATCTCCATCTGATCAAGAGCTGGCAGCCCACCATTAAATTCATTCACAGCTATTGCCCCTGTGAACTCTTCATCTAAAACAGCAAATCAAATTAAAAAGTGGGTTGATCACTTACGGGAATATGAAGACCTTTTAACGCTTATGACCACAAGGCGGGCCGATTCTTTTTTTCTCCTTTTTGGCAAGGAAAGGGTGCTTTTGTGTCCCAAGATTGTTACAGAAATATACTCAAATAAGACAGTAAAGTGATCCACGCCAAATTAAATAATCATAGCTAACCCCGTCCCTGAAGATACATTTCCCATGAGCATGTTTAAAAGGAAGAAGGCAATTAAAAGACTTACCCTTTTTGCGTCTCTTCTTTGGACATCGGCATGATTTGAAGAACAACACCTCAGCTGTCAAGCCAATGAAGAAAATAACGGCTATCAAAACGAGGCAGGAGTACAATGAAGGGAAAAACAAATCACCGGTGGGATCAAAAATACTCTGAGAGTTCTGCACCGCCTCGTTTCCTCCTCCCTACAAACAGCAATAAAACAAAACAAGAAAAACACTCTCTTTTTGTTTAATTACATAAGAATGAAAACGCTTACTTCGCGATAATGATAATCATTTTTAGAAGAGTTTCTCTGTTAAACTGAATAAACTCCATTTGCATCAAACGACGCTTAATTAACATGAAAAGATGACTGGTAGGAAAATTGAAGCGTTTTCACGGAACTCTGTCATCTGGTGCGCATATGAAACGTTTAGAGGCCAAGAGGAGCAGGTTGTGGCTATGGGTGCTTCAAGTAGAGACGCAATTGGTAACACGTCACTTCTTAAATGACAAGAAACTAAAAAATTGCTATATTACAATTCCCATATTATTTATAAACTATACACAACATTATGCATGCAGAGGGAAATAGAACTTGTAGATCTACTGTGGAAAAGCTTCACATCTGAGGATCTCCTGCTTGAATTCTAGAAAATATAATGTTTTGTAAGTGTCTGGGAGAGAGTTCCATAATTTGCTAGCTAAATATGAAAAAGA